GAACAGCACATACTTTACTACAATGCTATGATCAAACAAGTAATGTTGTATGGCTCAACTATTTGGTCTCACTGCTCAGCTGATAACTTGACTAGAATCCTCAAGCTGCAAAAACGTGCTGCCCGAGTAATCTTAGGAGCTGACACAAGATCAAATAGAGTAAATCTCTTTAATAAATTAGGGTAACTCCCATTTTATGACGAAGCTAAAGTCAATAAGTGTTCGCTAGTCCTTAAGCACCTTCAAGGAAACTGCCCCAGCTACATGTATGACCTTAAATGCAATGCAGATTTACACACACTCAGTGGGCGGTACAGTGCCTTAAACCTCGTCTGCCCGAGATATAATCGCGAATCTGAAGGAGGGAGAACTTTTAGCATGTCTGCGACCAAGCTCTGGAACTCTCTGCCCATTGACCTTAAGAAAGGAACATGTGTAACCTCATTTAGAAAGGCTATTTAGAGTCATTTTTTAACAAGATACAATGACGTTGATCATTTAGGCTTAAGTGAAACTTGACTTTATTTCTTAGTTTTATGCTAATCCGGCATTTCACAACCTTCCTTTCGCTTCACACAGGATGTTTTATAATTGTAATATAGTTTTCTACTCTCTTTAGTCTTATTGATACATATATTTATAGTTCTTTTTCGTTAACTATATGTATTTTGTCACTTGATTTTTGTTTTATAATTTTAGCTTGAGGGCCACTAGTTATTCAGTTGAAGTACTGTCCTGTATTACCCTCGTTAAATAAAGTTGATTATTATTATTATTATCTGTTATTGAAGAGCATCCACATTCTGTGAGGTCTGCCCTTGCATCTAATCCCAGCCAAGGTCTGTGCTTCTATTATTGAATTTTACTAACAATTTTTATTATCATGTGTCCGATGGTTTGTTCATTGTACTGCACGGACATTTTGGAGTTGGTGAATGAAAGACTTAGGAGAATCTAATAACAATAAATTTATTTTTATTTTGCACAAAAGCCACTCCCACTAGATTGGAAGCAAAGTAAAGCTGACCATGCATGGTTGTCGAAAGCCCTCTTTAAGGTGAACACAAAAACTGGCAAACCAGAATTAGACATAGCAAGGTACATTGCATTTATGTACATTTATATTAAAATTTACTCACTATCATTGAAAATTTAATTATAAGTTTGCTAAAAATATTATTTATAATATATAATTTTTTAACATACAGTGTGGTGTGCTCATAATTATTTGTGTTTATTGACAGGCTTGACAAGCTATGGTGTATCCACCCGAACATCTCCTTGTAAGTGCAGAGAGCCCTAGTCCGAAGAGATAATTTTCACAGCCTCTTCTCCTGTGGATGCCAAGAAAACTGTGGCATGTAAAGCTATACTGCCCCCACTCTGGCTGTGCACAAAAAGAACTAACTAGTGCTGAACTTTATCCACACATTCGGCAAGTACTTGACATAGATGGGTATTACAACTTGGCAGCTGAGTATCTGGAGTGCAGGAACTGCACCTGTAAGGTACTGTCTCTGTTCTATTCCACTGTATCTGTTACATATCGCAATTGAATCCAGGTTAAGATTTTAGAACCAATAACATATTTGTGCAAAGCCCTATGGAGTCTCTCCTATATTTCGTCCATGCATTGCTAATAAATGCACTTGCCATCGTCTGTCAAGGCTCTCTTTTCGTTTTTATTATGTTTAAAAGGTAATAAGCTGGAGTGGCCCAATTGTCAACCAGCTGGATATGGACCACAAGATGCAGTTCCCTACCATACTCATCTACCGCTATGCATGTGATGTTCGGGTCATTCGCTTGCTGAGACAACGAGGCCTAGGTAATAGTGCCACCCAACTACAGAGAAAGCTAACAGAACAGCACAGTGAAAGGTGGCGCGTATGTACGATCCAGTACCTGAATGATTGCAAACACTTCAGGGATGTTTCTAATATTGGCCTTTAATTACTTGCCCCAAATTTGAAGATCTGCCTGAGTACATTCCCCTGCCGTCATACAAGTGGTTCCTTACTGCTTATGTCCAAGACATTCTGCCACGCATTGAGGAAGTTAAATCTGGAATCACATCCACTTTTGGGATAATAATTGAAATGGATTCCACCAAGAAGATTGTTAAAAAGCTGGCAGGACACAGCACTGGGCCACAAATGTTGCAAATGAGAGAGAGCAGATACTGATGAGTGTCCTTACTGCTAGTGAAGGAGTGGGACTACAACCAATGGCAGCAGGCCTCATGAAGAGATACTCGGATGCGGGTGTACCCCCACCTAAAGTTCTCTATGTTGATTGTCACTGCTGTGGAGGTGGTGCAGTGAAGACAAAAGATCTCTTCTCCCAGTGGTCACAGATGGTGATATCCGTCAACATATGGCACTTTATGCGACGCATTGCTGTTGGTTGCACTACAGAGTCCCATCCAATGTATGCCATTTTCCTCGGCCATCTTTCCAGTGTATCTTTGAGCGGAGCCAGGAAGCCCTACAGCTCTTAAAACATGCTAAACACTGTGAACTCACAAGGACTGGAGTGAAAGATCCAAGTGACGAGGATGTAATCAAACATATCAGCAAGAAAGAGCTTGCCACCCAGTGCCACAGAAAAACCCGTGGTATAAAAGACACAACTCAGCTTATCCATGACTTACTTGATACATTTCAAGGTGAGCAAGGATGTGACACTCTCGGAGTACCACTTTTCGATGCTGACCGAATTTGGGATACCTGAGAATCTCAGAAAAAGCACATTACATGTATCCAGGTTCCTGACGAAGTACAGCTATATACAAAAACAGGAGTGGTCACAAAGGGAGGTGTTGAGCTGCCTGTATACAGATGTGCCCGGGGATCAACTGCACTGGAATCATTTCATCTCCACTACAACCAATTTATACCAGGTACATGTACTGTAAATTTAATATTAATAGAATTTTATTGGAATTATTGCACAGATATTAACAGGCTTTCGTATATTTTGCAATCCATTTTCCTTTCTACACTAGCTCTTGCTTCTCGGAACCAGTGCTTGAAAATGCATATTTACTAGAGGGATTGTTTAGGTGGAATGCTGACCGCGCTTCAGCTGCTGTGTCAACCGACCTTTCCACTGAAACAAACACATACAGTGGAGTCCTGGACCTGGTTGAACTAAGTCCTACACAGCTGTTTAATAGTACCATTTTTCTTTTACATCTACCCTTTTCACAGAAAATGCTCTTCCCAAAGCTTGGCAAGACACCTTACCAATTGAGCAACAACGTTGGATGAGCAAAGCACTGTACCATTTCAACCCTTCAACTGGCAAGTCCAAGATAAAGAAAGACCTCAAGATGTGGTGGTTCCCACCAGAGCCTGTCCATAACTGCAACCAACCCCCAGCTTCACCTGACACTTACTTTCTAGAACCCTTTTTTCTCTGGGCACAACAGAGAATTTGGGGCCTTGATCTACACTGCACCGAGGAGTGTAAAGCAACTCAAGCTAAACAGAGTGTGAAGGTACAATTACATATAGGACTTGGGTTTTTCAAAGTAGTATTTATCTATATTAACATTTGTTATTGGCATTTATATACAGTTTTGAATGATATTTTTAGCATAATATTATTGTCTTGTCCTTTCATAATACAAATCTAAATATTACCTTGTGTGGACATGAATAAAGCTTTCATTTAGGCATTGGGGATAGCATTGTAATGTTCAGCAAAAAACATCTTTACTCTTCATAATCATGGATATTACACTTTTTCGCCAATTATGTATCATTTTTATCAGCTGTACCTTACACAATCAGGGTGATACAAAACAGTACGCAGAGTGTTGGACATCGACCAATGGTACTTCATGGGTACAGAGTACCTAAAATGCAAGTTTTGCGAAAAACATTTGCTGCCTGGTCCAGTGTGGTACTTGGTCAACTGTGCCTGGGCCATCGGAGCTACTTTCCAGCACGCCAGTACCTCAACCTGACTACTCTTGGTTCCTACTCACATACAGGTACCAGTAAAACACAAAGTTGCTAATTGATTATAACAATTCAGATCACCAGCAATGAGGTGAGATGACATGAAAAAAAATCCCACTTGCCTTTTGCTGGAAAATGACTATACCCAATTTATTTATGCATTATTTAATAATGGCTTAATCAAATGACTTGTCCAGAAATTTGTTTTCATATTTTTTTGTATTCAGATACTCTTATGATTTTCGACTTGATGGCCTGTTAAGACAGAGGACCCTCGGGAACTCTTCCACCAAGTTGGAGAGCAGCATGATGAATTTTACATGAAAAGGCTGTTGATGTTTTTACAAGCTAGGGAGTCATTTAATGTCAAAGCTGCATGAGCCTTATTCACTATTGCTGCTCCCAACAAAGAATTACCACCAATCACACCGGTGCCTAAAGGACCTTGGTTTCTTGCCGTTTATGTGAGGGATGTCTTGAGCAGGCTAGACGAAGTGAAGGCAAAGATAACCTCTGCCTTTGGCTCAGTTCTTTAAATGGACTCAACAAAGAAGGTAATAGGTTCATGAGAATTTTTTCATTTTTCAGTTGTAAATAATTATTATTATGGTGGACTCCTCTTATAAAACAGTGAAATTTGATGGGGGAGAGTACTAGTAACTTGAAACCTAAACCTATGTCAGCACAGTAATTAAAGTTTGTTGATTAAGACAGTAATAAAAACCTTGCAGAGAGAAATAATATTAAATGGAATAATGACTATTAAATAATATTTTTTGGAAATGCATGTACACTGTACTGTATCTACACTAGCATATTTTGGGCACTTTCATTTTCTGTGTATGCATTGCAGTGTTATATTTATCAAAATGTTTTGAGAATCGTTCTTCTTGCACAATTTTGCAGGTCACTAAAAAGCTTGGAGGAAATACTGCTAGGACAGCTTCTTGGGCCACAAATGTGGGCAATGAGCTTGGTCAGGTACTTTCATCTGTCTTGACAGATTCGGAAGGTGATGGTCTTGGCGACATGGTGACTGGCTTGGTAGAGAGATGCAGAAACTCCAATGTACCTCCACCAAAACTTCTGTATGTGGATCGAGATTGCTGTTCTACAAAGTTAAAGAGCCATTTCCATGAGTGGAGCAATCTGGTCATACGTCTCGATGTATGGCATTTTATGAGACGGTTTGCTGCTGGTTGCTGTTCAGAATCCCATCCCCTGTATGCTACCTTTATGTCTCGACTATCTGCATGTGTGTTTGAGTGGGATACCAAAGACCCTCAAAGATTATATGTAGCCAAAAGGGGTCAACTCTCTGCTAGTGGGGTGTGGAGAAAACGGAAAAATGATGTTGCTATGCATATAACCAAGAAAGAATTGGCCTTGCACTGCAAATGACACACATGGGGAGTGGAGGAAACAACTCGTCTAATCAAAGATCTAATCAACTCGTTTTCTTCTGACAAAGGGAAGGATACCATGAGTATACCCCTGCTGAACAAAACATCAATCCAGCAGATATGGTAGGAGCAGAAACAGCACATTTTGTGCATACAGGACGTAGATGACCCTTCCATTCAATTGTACACCCAGACTGGTACATTAAAGAAGGGTGGTGTTGAGCTCCCCATCTACAGGTGTGCCTGAGGGTCAACATCATTGGAGTCATCCATTAACACATTGATCGCTTCATTTCAGGTAAAAAACACACAAAATCCTCTTTTTATAAAACAATAATGTCCTCATGCTGCATAAGGATCACCTCCGTTAACAAAAACTGTTGACTTAAGAGATATGAAGAGATGTGTAAGGTACCTTCCAACTACTTTAAGTGTTTCTGAAAAAATTGTACTGAAATAGAAAGTTGTGTTATTTAATGGTCTAAGACCATCTGATATAATGGAAACATCTTTCTTCTGGCACTCCTTTTAAATGCTTGAATTTTTTACATGTAGATACAATAGCCAATGATGTCCACCTCCAGTGCTACCTACTTGAGGGCATTGTACGCTGGGATGAAGACAGGGCTTTGGCAGCCATGACAGACGGGGGTGGAAATTCACCAATGAGCAGCTACTCTTCCTCCCTAAAGTATGAAATCAACCGCTTGACTGAAATGGTGTATGGTGAAGAGCAGCAAAAAGAACTTTGACCATCCTGGCAAGTGCACAGGTAATGTGGGTTAATTGTTTATCTTGATCATGTTTTGCATGGAGTTAGGTAACAGATAAATACATGTAGTGCTGTGTCTACTAAGTGTATCCCATGTATGAGCAATCTATACTGATTTCCACCTTCATTTGGAAGGTTGCAGTTCTTAATAACCTCATAAAACTCACATACCGATTTGAATTGTTCTTGTTATTACAACATTAGGTGAGAAAATGGGGGTAGTTATCTTTACAGCCAGACAGGGAAGACTTGGTCTTCAGATGTCAGTCGTCTTGATCCAGATGAACCTGACAAACTGACTGATGAGTTGACTAATGACTCCCTCAATGAAGGTTTTGCAGAGTGTGAAGAGGTGGATCCCACTGTTGGTGACCTACATGTAGAGCCATCTCCTACAGACCAGCAGCCCTCAAGTGCAACCACTGGTATTTTACACAATTGAAATTAATGCTAATCTGTGATTATTTGAGTTACAAGACAGTCTTTCCCTTGAACTCTTTGTTTTAGTTCGGGCATTTTCAATATTGTTTTGGTTCTTCTTCTTTCCAGCTCAGTCATCAAGCCAAGGAGACAGCTCCACTAGAAATGAAGAACCACCAACAACTGATGTACACGTACCTTCCAATTCTGATGACACTTCTGATACTGAGTTGCAGGTAAGAATACATGTTGTATGAGTCTGAAATTATTTTTAGCCTGGCCAATAGTGACTTAATTATATCTACAAAATCATTATTATAGCTTCTGTGTTTTCTAATCTCTGCTGTAGGAGACAGTTAGTCCTCTTGGGATTCTTGGTTGGGAGCAGATCCAGCAGCTTGCCAATGCACTCTTTGATCTACGGGATTGCACTGCCCTAACAGAAGCCCAAGTGATCCACCTGATAAGGGTGTGGAGTTTACTCCCTACTGCGCTCAAGGAGACAAAAGTCGTGTACCCTCCACGTTACCGCAGTGATAATAAACACTGGGGTAGATTCATGCAGAAGAAAGCAAGTGCAACTCACACGCAGACAGTGACGCCCAGAACAGTCAGTCTTAAGAAGGTGAACATGGTGGATAGTTTTCAACTTCTAACAAATGATTTAAAGTGGAAAATATTAACACTTAAAATAAACAATTCAGATTTCTCAAAGAGTTTATTTTTTCATATCTATAAATACAGGACAGAGGAAAATACTTTTAGTCAAATTTGTGCTGAGATTTTTTTCTATCATTACTACAGTTTTTGGAAGGGGATAAGGCGGGAATAGGGGGCATGGAGCTGTGAGTAACTTGTCAAGTAAAACGCGTAATATTGGCCACACTACATGTAGCTAGCTCATTGCTAAAAGTAAAAATCACCTTCTCTTTCCATT